CACAGATTATGATTTTGCTTAATAGAAAACTCTAAGAAATCTGATTTTTAGCAATAAGAATAAGAAAAAGAATAGAGGACTAGGGAGATAGCCCTGTGGTCTAAGCACCTGCTGGCAAGTGCAAGTATCCAAGTTTGATCTCCCGTACCACATGTCATGCCAGCCCTGAAACTAGGTGTGGTAGCACATTGCCTGTAATCCCAGCACTGGGGAGGCTGAGACAGGAGGATCACTATGAGTCTGAACTGTGTAGTGAGACCCTGCATCAAATAAATAAATAAAAATAAACATTAAAAAAATTAAATTACTAAATGAGTTCACAAAGTTGCAAGAAAAAAATTGACATACCAAAGTCAGTTATATTTCTATACCTTACCAGTGAACAATTTGAAAATGAGATCTTAAAAATTCCACTTACAAATAAAGCATTAAAAAAATAAATGTTACTGCAAAATTACAAAATATTTTTTAAAAACTAAATACACATGTATATGGAGATATATTCTGCTTCTGAGTCCAAAGATTCAATACTGTTAAGATGGCAATACTTTCAGAATTGTTCTACAGATCCAACACACATCCCATTAGAATCCAAGCTAGGATTCTTAAAGAAATTGATAACCTGATCCTACAACTTGTGAATACAAAGGACCCAGAACAGCAAAAAACAATCTTGAAAAAGTATAACAGAGCTGAAAAACTTAACTTTTCCAATTTAATACTTGCTACAAAGATACAAAAAGTTAAACTATACTACTAAACAGAAGAACCATTATAAATTTAAAAAATATGGCAAACATAGCTGGTACAGTGGTGCACACCTGCTGAGGCAGGAAGATCACAACTTCAAACTACACCTGAGTAACTTAGGATTTAGTGATCCTGTCTTAAAATAAAAAAATAAACTGAATAAATAAAGCAAGTGGAGAAGAGGAGAGAGCTCAGTATGAAGGCCCTGGGTTCCACTCTCTCAGCAACACAAAAAGAAATAATATCGCTAAAGCAAGACAGCAAAAAAAAACCCACAAATATAACAACAGTCTCTTAGGATGCAATCAGGTGTCCCATCATACAGACTCATTTGAACAAACTAAAAAAAGATGATATATAAAATGACTGTATAAATTATTAAACATTTACCAAATAATTGCTTTTTAAAATTTTAGGTCTAAAGATGTTAATATGTGAAGAATATATGTATACTCAAAAAGAGGAACTATATGGCCCAATCTCATCTCTCAAGAATTGCTATGGAAGTATTAACAGGTAAATCATATGGTATCTTCTTTTCAACAATCTTGCGAACTAGGATAGGAAAATACTAAGATAAAAATATACAGGAAACAAGATAGTCCTTATGAACACATTCACAATAACTAATGCAAAAAAAAAAAAAGGGGGGGGGCAAGTATTATAGTCACTGCCCTAATACTTGACATAGCTAAGAGGTGGAAATATGCACAAATTGATTTTCAATATGCAAGATGTATTTTTTAATTATCTTCTCTACAAAATTTGACCTCAGAATTTCACAAGAAATATTTAAGTCAAACATTCATGAAACCCAAGAGCTCATTAGTAAATTCTCTGGATTAGATGATGGAAAAGCATCCTTTAAACATTAATAGTCTGCAATTCTTTTGCTAATTTACTTAATGCCATGAAAATTAATATTATTCTATTATGGCTTCAGAATAAAATTATATATAAAAATAAAAACGCCTAATTTAACAGAAAGCAGATATAATACTAAGAATTAGAAGAAAAATATTTATGAAAGTAGTAGTTCTCAAATACTTTTAAGAGTTTTAACACTCTAAATCTGTTGAGATCATTTACACTTTTAAATCACTGAGGACCCCAAAGAGTTTTTGTTTATGTGAGTTAATATTTATATACATTAGTATTTATCACTAGAAATTTTTAAAAAGACAATTAAAAATGTTTCATTCCATTTAAAACAGTAAACTCATTATATTGGAGAAGTATTTTTATGAAAATATTTTTTGTGGTTTTTAAAAAAAATTTTATTCCAAAAAATAATGTATATTAGTATAGATAATTTGTAACTCAAATTATAAATTATAGTTATAAAAAGTGCAGATACTTTCTGTGGACAATAAACATTTTGGTTTTTTCTTGAAATCATTTTTTTCTAGAATTAATTTTATTTTTTTGGTAGGACAGCTACAATAATTAACACATTGCATACATTTTTCCTAATACTTAATTGCTGTACAAGATGCAGACATGATATCCCATTTACAAACACCATTAAAACAAATCCCTCTATTCATTAAGAGAATGTAACTATATATCTATCCCAACGACTCTGAATACACAGATACAAAATGGACATTCATCTGTATCCCCTTTTTTGTTAAGTTCCATTATTTGAATATTATAGGTGTGTAAAGTCAGCAAAATAGTCTAAAAGAGTCCAGTAGCCCATAACAGCATTGGGTCTTCCGCTTGACTGGCAATGTCAGACGTTGTTGACCCGAGTTCCCTACAGCTCAAAATAACAGCATGGCTTTACTTCTTATACTTCATTTTTATACTTTTCTGCTGGATGGTTAAGCCCAAGGTAAAGCAGGACCTATGCAACAAGAGTTGTAGCTTTTGGGTCTGATAAGGTCAGTGAAATCCCCTCAGGATTTATATGATATTTACACATGTGTGTCTGGTTTTATTTCACTTATGAGTACATCTTCAAGTGGCATCCACTTCAGTATAAAGGCTTGCAGTTTATCATTCTTAATAGCTGAATAATAGTCCATTGTGTAAAAATACCACATCTTTTTCAGCCATTTCTCAGGCGATGGTACCTTGGTTGTTTCCAAGATCTGGCTATCACAAATTGTGCTGCTATAAACATAGGCACACATATATCCCTATGATATGATGTTTTCAGATCCTCTGGGAAAATTCCCAGTAGAGGAATAGCTGGTTTAAATGGGATTTCCAATCCAACTTTTCTAAGGAGTCTCCACACTGATTTCCATAACAGTTGCACCAGTCTACACTCCCACCAGCAGTGGAGAAGGGTTCCTTTTTCCCCACAGCCTCTCCAACATTTGTTGTTGGGTGATTTCTTTATGATAGCCATTCTTTCTGGGGTGAGATGATATCTCAATGTTGTTTTAACTTGCTGAAAATATTTTTAAAAGAGAAAGTTTTGTGCAAATTACACTGCTTTTACAACTCTTGATGCACAGGTCCTGCTTTACCTTGGTCTTAACCATCCAGTAGAAAAGTAGAAAAGTATGAAGACGAAATATAGGAAGTAAAGCCATGTTGCTATGTTGAGCTGTGGGGGACTCAGGTCAATAATTTCTGACATTGCCAGTTAAACAGAAGACCCAATGCTATTATGGGCTACTGGACTCTTTTAGAATATTTTGCTGAGTTTACACACCTATAATATTCAACAACGGAACTTAAAAAAATTGGGATATAACTATGAATGTCCATTTTGTATCTGTGTATTCAAAGTGGTTGGGATAGATATATAGTTGCATTCTCTTAATGAATAGAATGATTTGTTCTAATGGTGTTTGTAAGTAGGATCACAAGTCTGCATCTTGTACAGCAATTAACCACTAAGAAGAATATATGCAGTGTATTATTTGTTGAAACTGTACTTTCGATTTGATTTGAAACTGTCTCATTGCTATATGTTTATCAATAAAACTTTGAAAAGAAAAAAAAAATTACACTGCTTTTAGGTCACCATGTATCGTCTTACTGTTTGTGTTATTTCTACGTCTATCTCAATTAATGTTTTCTTTCCATAAGGATGAAATACATGCCATATATCTATCTTTACATGTCAGATCTAAGAAAGGCACTTTTAGGGCCTGTGAGATAGTTCAGTAGACTAAACCCACACTTAGGCAAGCACAGTGTTCCAGATTTGATAGCAGACTAAACCCAAGGTTAGGCAAGCGCATGGACTAAGATCTGAGCCTCAGCACCACACGCCGCGCTGGCCCCACCCCGCCCTGGGGGCAACAAGCTAAACCTGGGTGTGATGGCACCTGCCTGCACTCCCAGCACTGGGGAGGCTGAAAACGGTACTCACTAGGAGGCCGAGCTGCGCAGCAACGCCCTTTATCAAATACGTTAAAAATGATTTTTTTTTCGAAAAAGACACTTTTGGTGAAAAGAGAAAGTAAGGTAATTTTATTCTCTCATTTTATATGCACTCTTCATCAAACTACTACTTTTCAATGATTTTCTAATAAGATACAATTTCATCTTCTATTTTAAATATTTTATATGGCTTATCTTTTTTTTTTTTTTTTCTGGCTCAGCCCACTCTGAGGGTGGGGCTGGTGTCTTATGTGGTGCTGGGAATCGAATTCCAGTCCTCTGAGCCTACCTAAGCTTACCTAAGCAGGCACTTTAGACCACTGAGCTATCTCGACGGCCCTAATTTTTTTCTTTTTTTTCTTTTTTTTCTTTTTTTTGCAGAACCAAGGATTGAACTCAGGGCCTTGTACTTGCCACGGAAGTGCTTATTCCACTGAGCCGTAGCCCCAGCCATTATATGGCTTATCTTTAAGTAACACAGGTAAATGCAAAAAGTAACATAATCTTAGAGTAATACAATGACTACTTAAAATTCAGTTTTCAACATTCATTTGTAAAGTGAAGAAACTTGTACCTTTTACAAATATAGTACAGAAATAAAGCTGTGAATGAGAAATTTTCCTATTCAATTAAAAACAAAACTATCTTTCAGATTCAGTTCTGTCCATTTGTAACATTCCTATATTAAAGAAATGTTTTTAAAAGCCAACAATATTAATAGCATATTCCCACTGTAAATAAAAGACAATGTCAATCATCATTAAACATAAAAATGAGCTCTCTCTAATGTTTAACACTTTTATGACATCAGTTGATTTTGTAATTCATCTTTAAGAAAAGTCTCTCATTAGTTCAACTTTTCATCAGAGCCCTATGGTTACAAGAAACAAATTTTTAAAACTTACTGTTTTAGTGCCATGCTTCAGCGTTATCTCATGTGAGTCAGGAATCTTCTGGACAGGATTCTGAAACAGGAAAAGTTCATGACATAAATGACTAGAATCATATATCTTAGTTACACTATATATCAAATTCAGAGAAAATACAGTTTTTAAAAATTACATCACAGCTAAGTGGTAGACCATTAGAGAAACTCTGGGTTTGATCCCAGTACTACAAAGGAAAAAAAAAAGGAGGAATATCAAAAAATCTTTTCAAATAAAGGAAAATGATTCTCCATATATTATTTTAAACGTACAGCAAAATTAACAAACCTCAGAATTTTGGGGAGTAACTTTCAAAATCCTTTGTCATAAAAATCAAAGAGAAGGGCCAGCCAGATAGTTCAGCAGATTAAAGTGCCTGCTTATGTAGACACAGAGATCAGGGTTCGATCCTGGGTGTGCCATGCCAACCCGCCCCCTGGAGCACAGTGAGAGAGCAACTGAGACTGGGCGTGGTGGCACGCACCTGTAATCCCAGCACTTGGGAGGCTGAAAACAGGAGCACCACTGTGAGTCCTATCTAGGTAGTGAGACCCTGTACTAAGTAAATTTAAAAAATAAATAAAATCAAAGAGAATCAGACAGACATAAAGGAAAGAACAGATTAAATAATTATTAATCATTCTAACAATTATGATTGCCAACAAATTCAAAACAAGTATTTTATGTAAAGCATTGTTCCCCTGGCAAAAATACTGACATAAAACCATAATTTACATTAAAATCCAATAACATGTTAACAAAAAAAACATGTTAATAAAAATAAACAAAACATGTTAATAAAAATAAACATGTTAATAAAAATTAACATGTTAATAAAAATAAACAAAACATGCTACTAAAATACAATGTTTTCCTTTTCTGTCTCAGTATGCCTAGAGAAAATCTCACGAAGATAATCATAAACTAAAAGAAATTAAATTACAATACCACTTAACATACTTTAACATTAAAAATTATTTTAAGACACTATAACCCATATTTAAAATAATCATTATAAAATTTCCTTTAAAATAACTGTATTTTGGATTCCTATATCCAAAATATTAAAAGCTCTCTTTTTTTTGCACCTAGGTATATCTTACAGTGTTTTGCACTTAATTTCTGACAGATACAAAAGTTGTCAAGGTAGCTATGTACTTTTTAACCCTTAGAAGGTTAAAAAAAATATTAACAAAATCTGCTCAGAAAAAGTACAAACAAGGGCCAGCAAAATAGCAAAGCGGATTAAAGGGCCTGCAAGCAGGGGTACGGGACTGGGATTTGACCCCTCCAGCCTGTCATGCCCACCCCGCCCCTGGGACGGTTGAGATGGCAATTGAGACTAGGCATGGTGGCATGTGCCTGTAATCCTAGCTCTTGGAAGGCTATAAACAGGCGAATCACTACCAATCTAGTAGTGAGACCCTGAACAACCTGCAGACCCTTCCCAAAAAAAAAAACAGAAAAAAGAAAAGGTACAAATAAGAAACTCAAGGCAGGCATAGTAGCATATACCTGTAACCACAGCATTCTGGGAGGTGGAGGCAGAAGGATCTTAAGTGTGAGTCCAGCTTAGGTAATTTATAGATTTAGCCAGACACTGTCTCAAAAAGTACTTTGCAAAGCACATCCTATATTAAAAGCAAACAAACCTCTGGCTGCACAAAACGAAAAGGAACACTAAGCCTACCCCCATGTACACCTCTGTCCAGGCCCCACACACGGTGTGTATTATGATACAGGGACACAAAGTTGAGGAAAAACATAGAACAAAAATTACTGATTCCCCTATAGAGACTATCTAGCATAGTCCCTTACTGCCTCTGTAATCAGGCTTTTCCAAACTGTGCATCCGAGAAGTTACAATACTCCATTATTACCCCAGATGAGTGAAAGAAATTAAGAAACAAGAAGGTCTTGAACAGAAAGAAACAGCTGAAAATTTTTCAATTTACTTCAAGACAAAGATATTAAGGTATGGTTAACTATACTGTAGAAGTATGCATGTATCTATTTCAGAGATGTTAATATTCCAACACAAATTTCAAAATAATAGAAAAGCTAAACAAATGAATTTTGGACTACCCTTATATTGAATTACCTAAGACATCCCTCTCTTTCCCTTGACAGTTATCAGTATTTGTAAGCAACAAAAACTCACTTAAAAGTGCTAACATTCTTGTAAAGACCAGGAATGTAATTGAAATGTTCCACTTAAAAGTATCATTTATCATAGTTTGTGCTGCATTTCATAACTAATTACTTTCTCATCAAGCAGCAAATAGAAATACTGTCATGTAAAAGCTGGAATGAAAATTTTTTTTGCTTAATTTAATGCAAAATATGCCTATATATAGACAATTTCTAATACGTAAAAAAAAAACAGATACACAGAACTTGGTGTTTATATTAGAAGTGAATTAAATGTTTAAGTAAAAGTTGTTTATATTTAAAAATCAAAGTTTTACTGGAAATCATATAGGACATAACTCATAAAAAGCCCACATAATTGGCACAACTAAATCATCTAAAATAGTAGTAATCCATCTTTTGGTAGCATATCACTTGATGGTAACTGTTCTTTTTCCAAAACTTTTCCTAATGACTTTTTGAAATATAGCTTAGTGTGAAATGTGCCATAACAGTAAAATATTTTCAACATTTTCCTGCCAAGGAACATCACAAACTACAGGAGTTTAATGAAGTAATTTATTACCAGAATTCATAACAAAAGCTACAGTCTTAATGGAAGAGAAAAAAAGATACCACGTTTTGTTTTGGTTTGGTTTTAAATACTGACCAAAGGATTATTTCCCAGGCTCTTTGGTCTATCCTCAATAATAACAGTGATAGTAAACATATCTCAAATAACATGAGCAATTCTTTGTGATTAACAGTTGTAGAAAAAAAAAAAACAGTTGTAGAGACTTGGAAATCAGAAACAATCTTTCTAGCACAGGCATTAATTAGGAAAGTTATATGCATATACTGCTATAGGTTTAGTAAAGCCCACTCTGTAACAAGAATCTGCCACAAGGCCTGGTGAGATAGCTCAGTGGACTAAGTGCCTGCTTAGGCAAGCACAGGGACCTAGGTTCAATCCCTGGCACCACATGACATCCGCCCCCGCCCCGGGGGCACACTGAGCCAGAAAACAAGTCCCACTGTGGGGCCACATGCCTGTAATCCCAGCACTGGAGAGGCTGAGAATAGGAGGATGGCAAGGAGTCTGAGCTGCATAGTGAGAACCTCTACCAAATACATAAAATAAAAATAGGGAAAGAGAATTAAGAATGTCAAGAAGAAGCTATAAACAGACCCATGCTACTTTCTCCAAGAAATCATTTAGGTTATAGTTGTTAGTGAAGCTTACTATAACAGAAGGTAGCTGGTTCCTCTACTTCATGACAGTACCCCAGATAGGTAAAAATCAAAAACAATACTAATTATAATAATGATAATGATAGACATGAAAAGTAAAAAGAGATCCTAATGCCACCTCCACTAAGGTCCCACTTTTCTGAGCCCCAACTGTTCTCTATCCTGAGATGTTTTGTCACCTCTATTTCTAGAGAAGGAAAACACCCTTTTGGGACATAACTATCTTCACCTGAGTTTCAACCCCAATTCAAATAGACTCATTAGAAAGCCTTTCAAACTACAGGTCTCAGGTAATGCCTCAGAAATAAGATTTCTCCCAAAAGTTTTACATTACACACTGACTCATGACAATGTTAATTCTCTTCCAGTCTTCCATTGGGCTATAGGCTATGATTTACTCTGCTTTGGACAGAAATCTTTGTATAGTGGAACCTGAAGCAAGGAAAAATTTGAAAAAGAATGAACACATCATTTAGTATTCTACATCTTCAGGATTTGGAGTAATGAGGCCTGGGTTTAGACCTAGGTTTTCTCATTAGTTAGATATGTGGCCTTAACTCAGTAGTTTTCAACCAGGTAGAATTTTGCCCTCCGGAGAAATTTTGTCAAGGTCTGGAGGCATTTCTAATAACCTCAACTGGAGGAAGAGTTAACAGCTGCAATAACACAATAGTACACAAGACAGTGCCCTCTCCTCCGTACAACAAAGATTTATTCTGCAAAAAAAGGAAAGAAAGAAAGAAGAAAAGAAATCAAAGATCACATTGATATTTTGGTCTAAAATGTCAAGTGACAGGCTGGAGACGGTGATACACAATTGTAATCACAGCACTAAGAGGCTGAGGCAGAAGGATTGTTCAAGGTCAGCCTGCGCTCCAAAGTGAGCTCAAAGCCAGCCTGAACTCTACAGTGAAATCCTGTCTCAAAATCATGAAATAAATAAAATAAAATAAAATGTCAAGTGACATTACACAAACAAAAAATGACAATGTTTTTAGGCTTTAGTTTATATACCTTTTAATTAGAGGCAACACTGCTAATATTGACAACTTTCCATGACTTTCGGGGGCCTGGGGACATAGCTCAGCTAAGTGCCTGCTGGCAAACGCAAGAATTTGGATTCAATCCCCATTACTGCATGCCATGCAAGCCCCAGCCCTGACCACCCAGTCAGCCACTGAAACCAGGCAAGGTGGTACGTGCCTATAATCCCAGCGCCAGGGAGGCTGAGACAGGAGAATCACTACAAGTCCCAGCTGCATAGTGACATCCTATACCATATA